AGAAGAATGTTACTTGCCCGCATGTGACCTGCTAAGTTAAATTCAGCCTTCACTTGAACTTTGGTCTCACATACAGACGTGTGAAAGTTTTGGTACTAAAACTGATAACTCGAGGACCAGGAAAGCTAGGAGGCTGGAATTTTAGGGTAATTTCCCTTGCCCACGTATGACCTCGTGAACATAAACTATTTATTTTTTCAATTTGAAAGCTTAGCGTGCCTTTGCTTTTAGAAGTGTTCTCCAATATAGCAGCAAAAGACTCATGACTGGAAGGACCCGCACGAACGGCTAAAAAAAAAATAAATAGTTTAAGAGAGAGAAGTGCATAATGAAAAAGAGAAGTTGCCAGCGCTGCATCAGTGGCGAGAAGAAACGCGGCAATGAAACAGCAGCTCGCCAAAGTACCAAAGTTAGATCATAAAATCGTTCTGCAGTTTTATATATTACAAATGTCTCCATTTATCAGAAAAAGCAGGAACTAATAAAGCGACTAATAAAACTTACGGTGTGATAACAATTTTAACTGTACAAATGATGGAAACCAAAATGGGAATAATAATAGCAGCAACAGTATGATCGGCAATGAAATAGGCCCAGCGCCTGTACAGCCGATTTATATACCGAATCAAACGAGTTTCCCGATGGCCCGATGAGGAAGAAGCAGATGATGCCGAATCCACCTGTTTTGATTTCATCAGCTGTGAAGCAACAACTGTCTTCGCCTTCGTTGAAAAGGCCATATCAAATGGCCTAGACAATTTATCGCTATTTTGAGCCAAATTTTCGTTCATCCAACTTTTTTACCTTTTAATCTGCGAGAAAAAAGATTTTTATTAATAACCGATACTGCAAGTAAATAAATCACTGTCACTCGCGTACATGATGTGTATGAATGTATGTCTCATCGTCAGTCAAAAGCCGATGTTTTTAGGCGATAACGAGGTGATAGCATGATTCTTTTGAAAATATAACCAACAGTAAAAGTGACGCAGTTGGTGAAGTGACCTGAGTCCATATCAAATAATTTCATTCGATTTTCTTGCCTCTAAAGACAAGTACTAAGTTCTTCTCCCGCTTGTTTCCTTAAGACGAAAAAAGATCCGGAATTGCTCTGAGAGATGACATTTTGTCATTACCACCCGTCCGCTGACAAAATTATCGGTGCGCCACTTCTTCAAATGGGTTGCTCGGGAAACAAGCTGTAAACGGTTTAGATTCCAGGAATATAGTAATATGCTTCCACGTAGTGGACACAGGCCTCAGTCCTGAGCTGCAAACTTTCAGTCAGTATCCACTGTCTACTCAAATTATTTGCGCCTTTTCTGAAGCTATGCTGAGCTGGGAAAGGGATGAGACATTGGAAATGTCAAAACCGCCCATGAGGGAAGAAAAACGACAGAAATCTTTCCTATTCGACATTTCACTCCCTACACTGCCTGATCTCGCCACGATTATCCGCCTCCCTCCCTATTCTTAATCATACAAATAAAATCAAACGAGGTACAAAGCCGGGTTGAAACAGTAGAAAAATTGTAACAGTTGAAATGGAATCCGGAACTTCAAGAATGCCAATAACTATGTGAAACGGAAGAAATAATTTCGAAAAGTCTCCGAATATCCTTGAAAAAATTTGCAGACAAAGCGTAACTAGCCATCGCTCTTTCACTGCCAGTGCGGCGGTGCCTCTTTTAGGAGTAATATCGGAACGGCGCCTTCCTACGAAAAGACCAAAGGTAGGAAAAAAAAGATGTTGCGATATAATTTTACCAGACACCTGAAAATGTGCCATCCTAAAATGCGCCCGAAATTACCGCAAACCATTGCCAGTATTGCTATATAAAGATCGAAATCAGCGAATGTGTAATTGATTATATTATAAACCTTGATGACGAGGAAGATGAGACGGAAGAGAGTGGAGGATGTCGGGCGGAGGGGAACTATGAATTTTAACGAAACGAGGGAAAGAAAAAAAAAAA